TCAACGACACGGTCTGGACATTAAAAATAAATGTAACTGTCACGTCACAAAGAGCAAATGAACAGAGTGATGTTGGAGGTAATCTTAAGAGGGGCATAAAGATCAGTGAGGCCCGGCTTTCAGCCTGAAAATGAGAAGCACTTAGCCAATAACGAGAGCCTAATGAGGATTCCTTTAACTGCGAGCGCTCGCTCTTTGATTGAAAAAACATTTGTCTTACAGTAAAAGTCTGATTCATGTGTCATTTCTATTGTGGATGTGGGCTCAGTAATAACCACATAAATCAGTTCATTCCAAGTTAGTGGAATGAGACTTGCTAAAATAACATCATAATGCATTTGAACGATCAAATGATGTGGTAATACTGTCCTATCCACTCAATGCTAGTATTTTAAGCATGAGCATTTTACAGTTTTGCGGTGTGTGTGAGCTTTGGCAAAGACGCGGCACTTCTTCATTTTGTTGTGATGGGCAAAACTCTCACTATGCAATTACTTTTCCAGTTACAAAGCTCTCTAGATTCAATCTAGGGCCTAGAGTCTGGGTAAGATGAACCCTGGACTAAACTGCTGCCACAGATAATGCAAGCAAAACGCTAAATTCATAGTTACAGTGATAGCAAATGTCTATCGTCCATATAAAACATGTCACCTCTGACTATTCACACACTGTTCCCTATGACTGAGGCTCTCTGCCTTGCTGTCTATATCGTCTACATTGGCAGCATAACCTCATAAGTGAGTAATTTAGAACACTCTGTCTCTCATAAAAAATTTATTTCTCACATAAAGCACAAGAGAGACTCTGCAAAAATCTATTTAAATGGAGTCTGATGTTAGCATGTTGCTTTACTTACTTTACTTTTAGTCATTTAGCAGACGCTTTTGAGACCAAACGCGATTTCAGCACGTCTCCACAGTAAACAAAACAAGCGTTTCCTAGCAACGACAACTGCGCTAAACACAGAGACAAGAAATAAATACACTTACAAGCTGCTTTAAAATTCTGCTGATTGACTGCTTCTCATAAAGAGTATTTCTTTACACTGTTTTGCTGGCGCTTGAACACACTTTCCTGTTTATCACAACAAATGGCCAAGCAAAGCGCACGACACTGACAAGGTACGCGATACAGTTGTTAAGCTAAAACCATGATACTCTAACAACCAAGATTCATAGCAAACACATATTTTGTTTTTATTAATACTTTGCTATAAAAATTATAAGTAGGCTTATAATCAACATTTCTCTTGCCTCGTCCACCATCTTGAATCCCTTTTTCAACAGATCACTGAAATGCATTATGGGACTCCATGAAGGCTAACTTCAAATTTGGCTAAAAGCAGGAACACTACACAAAAATATGGAATCAGAAATGGTTGTTTTTGCAAGAAATTAATACTTTTATTCAGGATAGAAGCATTGAATTGTTCAAAGGTTACAGTAAAGCTGTTCATAATGTTACATAAAAAGATTATATTCCAAATAAATGTTTTTCTTTTGAACGTTCTATTAATAAAAAAATCCTAGAAAAGTATTATTAAAAAAATTATACATATTAGAAGGATTTCTGAAGGATCATGTAAAATATATTCAAATTGAAAGCAGATATTTTAAATTGCCATAATATTTCAAAATATTACAGTATTTTTGACTAAATAAGTGCAGCCTTGGTGAGTATGAGAGACTTTTTTTCCCCTCAAAAGTCTTACCGACTACAAACTTTTAAATGCTAGTGGATCTTAGAAGTCAGTATAATTGTTCGGATCAGCCTTCACGCCTGCAGTCTGCCTACCCGCTTGATTGCCCTCTACCTAGGTAGCTCAATAGGTTTTGGAATACAGCCCGAGCCTTTTGTTTTCTGTAGTTTGACATTAAAGTGTATGAACATGACCCGTATGCAGCTAAACTCTTATTAGAGCGTGGCTCTTAATGACATGACGAGCAGACAGCTTTTTTTATGACCTCAGTCTCAACTAGGCTTAAACCCCGTTCCTCAGGATGACAAAGAATGAGTGTTCCAAGAAGAGGATTCATCAGGAGCCAGAGAGGAGTCATATTTAATCCCCCTGACGGCAAACTTGCCATCAGCTTTCCACTGACAGTGGCAAAGGAAAATGATTTGGGCAGATCAATCACTTGACTCATTGGTGGCTAGTCTCGGCTCCTGCATGCTTAAAAGGCACCGCTGACAGATGCGCTCCAACCGGCTGATTAAAGGCCGGCGTCGTCTTGCTAACCTTTCATTTGAGGGATGGTTGTCGCTGAGTGACAAATACTTCTCTGTTGCGATTCAAGGCGAGGATATTGACATTCAGATTCGCCAGGCGCTCTCAGGAACAGATGTCAGAGTTGGCAAGGAGGCTTGACAGCAACAGCAGGTACGGTGGAGCTCGAGCGGCTGAAAGACATGTGCTCCTGGCCCTGACGGTGACAACACTCACAACAACTACAGGTTTTTTTGTTTATCTCCCGGCCGGTCTTCACCCCTTTTTGCTTCGAAATTACCATCAAAGCACATCTGCTTGTGCCTTCACCTTGACCTGCCTTTCTTTTGGTCCGTGTGACTCTGGGAGTAACGGTGTGAGAGGGGTGTGAGGAGCGTGTCCTCTCTACCCAGGGCTGAGACATGAGTGAACACGTGTCCCACTCACCGCTGGGTTAAGAAATCCCTCTGCTAGCTCTGCGGTTGATGCACTAATGTCATCTCTGCTGGCAGCCATGTAAAAGGGAAGTAGTGGTAACAGATAGGATATCAAAGTCAATACGCCTGTTGTGCTAAGCCCAATCCCACTGTCCCATTTGAGCTGGCAGCTCTCTGAGAGCCGAGCAGAGCCATGAGACGCTTTCGCCTTACATGCAACTCGATATGCCAGATAAAGAGAAGGGAAAAAAAAATTTAGCACATGGATGCTGGCATCGAGGGCTTTTGGGGTATGTATGTTAAAGACTCTGGCCAACACGGAGCGAGGCATAAAATATTAATCGTCCATGTTTAGTGAAAACACAGCACTAATGCAGCACTAATGCACAAACATCCACACTGAAAATCTGGGCTTTAAAATTGTAAATACATTTTTGGAATTTCTAGAATCCAAACATTCTTGAAAATTTAAAAAGGGACATAAAATAAAGATTCTGCACTATTTCTGTCACTATAATTAAAGTAATAGTTTTCAATTGTATGTTTTGCACAGATTTGTTATATTGAAAATATAATTTATTGAAAAACAAGTATTTTCACTAGTCGTCTCAATTTTTGGACATCACTATGTTATTGTGCCAATGTGCTACATTTAATGCATTATCCACAGTATGACCCATTTTGTCCACAATATGGCACAAATTCACACTTCCAAAAAATAGTTTAAGTAGATTATTCTGTTTAAACAAGAATATTGCAAAAGTTTCAGGGCGCAGGCCTATGTTATAGACTTCAGACATTTGAAGTGATGGCAGTTCAGAACTTTGGTAAGAAGCACCTGTGATGTAACTCCAAGCCTCTTTAAAGCTGCCAGTCAGTTAACACATTCCCTGGAAAAATAACACCTCAATGGCAAAGCAAAGTTGAACACCTATTTTTTACTTAAACACATTTTTGGCTCAAACAAACTTCACTTAGTTTCACAGTGTGGCGTTGAGTGGGTGTGGGTGTTTAGAATGTCAAAAAAAATTAGCTATTTTCATAAAACACACTACAAACATTTTGTACAGTCTCAAAAATGCAAACCAGACTACCATAATTTCAAAATAACTTTTTTTGGCCACCGTAAAACTGAATAAATTAAGATTTCATTTGGGAAGAGATGCAGAAATGCTAGAGCAAGGAACCAGATGTTAAGGATTCAGATGTCATGTTGTTTTTAATATAGTGAATGGGGTAACTGTTGAAATAAAACAAACAATAATTTGGGTGTACGAGCGGCTCTGGGACTGTGAGGTTCGGCCAAGAAGCTCCAGTTGGGGACATTACTAAAGCTAACGCAACATTTGTCTGTGGTTGACGATCCATTTTTCCAAATTAAACACCTTATGATGAAACATTTGCTCGTGTTCTCATAAAACTGAAATACTCCAAAGGATTAGCTTGGAGTTTCTACACTTAAACATATTATATTATCCAGTACGTTTATTCTTTCCAGAGCCGCCTTTATGTTCTGAATAAAGGACATAATTACAAAAAGACAATCTTTAACTTAAGAGACTGGACCCAACACGTTTGACCTTGTTTTGAAGTGGTTTAAAATAATGGCATTAATAGGCTGTTTACAAAACTAGTGCATCATTAAATTGAACAGGTTTGCTTTTACGAAGCTCCATAGTACTTAAACACCGGTAAGAAACTTTCAGGTTGTGAGGGATGGCAACGCCCACACACTTTCTGCGCTTACAAACACGCACTTGCACATTTTCCTCATGGCATGACGAGAAATGTCTGTCAATCATTTCGAACAAGAGGGTAGTCATACCATCTTATCAGTGTCAATCACTGCATTGAGCAGCTGTGAGCTCCCATAATTCCCCGCACAGCTGCCTCAAAAAGGAGGTGCATATATTTGGACATCCCATCCGGCAAAAAACAGCTCGGGTGATAAAGGTACTTATAACCCTACATATATTTATGGATACCATTAAAAACAAAACCGCTATAAAGAAAATAGCTGACTGTGGAGTAAAAGGCCCGAAGGACCCAATTTCCTCCTGAAGTACCTGATGGACACAGTGACAAGCAGATTGCTTTCCAGCACCAATTTTTGGAGCATGTGAAAAATGGGGCCGCATGCTGGTATGTGGTCCAAGATGACTCATAAATCTTCCTTTATCTCCTCTGTGGTGCTAGCAGAAAAGGATGAGTTGCTTTTTTTCCATCTCATTCACATGTCTATCTGTCTGTTATCCATGCCCTTGAGCAAAGATTACTGATGCCCTGCCTTTGATATATGACACATCTCACAGTGCAGCTTTTCATCCAGTGAATTAACCCAGAAAAAAAATGCAAACCTGACTGCCATCGGCTCCCAGGCTTCCTCGCTATTCTTTTGTGCTCCAGAAACCCCCCACCTTCCTTATATTGAGCAGACGGGCCAGAGAGCATTATGGGTACACAAGTTTGGTGGCAAATTGTTTATCTGACCTCTGCATATCTCTGCATTTTATAATCTGCTGTGTGTCGTTCCTGTGTCATACTCGCAACAAACTGAGCCTGTCAGTCGTAGGCTGGATTTCATTTTCCTTTTTATACCCCCCAGCGGTGAGGCGCTAAGAGGGCGTTATACCTAAAAACACAGCATACGCTGGTAGGACAGTTACATAAAAACAATGGGTCTCATTTACTAATCTAAATTTATGAGTGAAATCTGCGTACAAACATTTTCATAAACAAATCATGATTCATCAATAACTTTTGCACTAACATGCATTTTAAATTTACAAAAAAAATGCAGGAACACAAAATCACTTACTCTGGGTGACCTCATGTATATAATGTACACTATCACTTTCAGTAAAAGAGAAAGAAAATGTGTGTTCTAGCTCAAGATGAGCTATATGTGTGAATTTGGTGGAAATTTTTAGTGAAGTAAAATAGTATACATTTTAATGCAATACACGATTACTGTACAGATGCATCTCTAATATTAGAAACTGAATGAGTTAATTCAAGACTATCTTTAAGCACACTGTCTGTACCTTTAAAAATAATTCAGCACATGATGTAACATTAAGCAAAGCTCCAGTCAAAATTATGTGTCGCTGTGTTTGACAAATGGGACTACCGTTTGCTTCGTACCTTACAAAGTCTAAAATAATATATTAACCAATTACTAGAGTGCCTGAGTAGCTTGCATTAAAAAGAAATATTATTTCTTCCTTAGAGCAAGACTTCATTAACCCTATTCTAATCCCCTATTTACATTTAGAGGCTTAAATGAAACTAAATAAATTGCTTCAAGCTCAGACGAACTATACATATTTTAATATAACGCTAATCATTATGAAAGTTATCAAAGAAGTCATAAATAAAACATCAGGCCACTAGAAAAGTGCAGCAATCCATTATCATAATGGAACTGCCCATGATCTATTTCATTAACATGCAGTCTTCAACCCAAATAAATGTATTATTTGCCCTATGAGAGCAAATCCATTTACAGGACAGCAAATGTTAACATCCTGTAGCCTACAGTATAAGCATGATGCATCAGCATCAATAGAGACCTCTGCCTTATCCCCCAAACTGTTGTCAAGGTAGAAAAAAGAAGCCTATGCTAAACTACACATATATATTTGCTGAGCAGTGCATGATTGCTTTATATTAGCATAAGCTACTAGCATTTGACTGAGTCACATTACTAAAATAACTCCAGTAGTAAAATGCAGCGGATAGCGAGGTCAAAATGTTGTTTTACTGCCGTTATTCACTTTCAGCCCTGAACTAATGACACTACTTTGCACTGTTACGCTAATCACAGTCCTGTATCTATGTTATGCTACTATGCTATTAGCATCAACAACACTTCACTGAGTTCAACTGGCATTGCTTAGCTGCATGTTAATGGCTTTATAACATGAATTCTCTCCATATATACACAACAATTAAAAAGTTTGGGATCAGCAAGAGTCCCCCCCCCCCATTAATTTTTTTATTTTTATTTTAAAGAAATTAAGTTTTTATTCAGCAAGGACACATTCAACAGATCACAAGTGACAGTAAAGACATCTAGGCCTATAATATTTATATTTTAAATAAAAATATAAATAACTTTTAAAATTTATATTAATCAAAGAATATAGAGCAAAAAATTAAGCAGCACAACTGTTTTCAACACCAATAATGATAATAAATGTTTCTTGAGCAGCAACTCAGCCTATTAGAATGATTTCTAAAGGATCATGTGACACTGAAGACCGGAGTATGGATGCTGAATACAAAGTTTTCTGTCACAGGAAAATCATTTGTTTTGAATTGTAATATTTCATGATATTATTGTTTTTCCTGTATTTTTAATCAAACAAATGCAGCCTGGGTGAGCATTAGAGTCTTTACATTAAAACATTATTTAACTTTCTTAAAAAGTTCTTAAAAGTAGTATCCAACTAATGTTGCTTGATACTCTGCTCCATAATTTGTAACTATTATTTTCATAAAACATGCTGTTTTGACAGGAACAAGTCCCATAAGCAATGATACTATCCATTTAGTGTGAATTAACTGGATAAATAAAAGTCCGACCCATAAACAAAACTTGTACTGGAAATGTTTCCAATTAAATTAGATCATCAAATCAGTCAGCGATCTCATATTTCTTTTTTAAAAGTAGACATAACCTATCATCTGGCACGCCATGGCTCCCAAAATCAATTTGCCATCATCGTCTGTACAACTGGCAATTCTACAACTTATTACATGTGTTATATTGAGCTCCATCTGGCCAGGGTCATTTGCCTTTTTAATTCAGTTGTCTTCTACTCTCTAATTTCACATTTACAAATGGTGTCGACCACAGCACCAAGCTGCACCCCGTCAGCTGTGGGAAATATTTTCATACGAATACGCCAGCAGTCCACAGCCATAAATTTGTCAGGCAGTGTTATTAATAGATAGTAACAGATGTTTACTGATTGTTGATTACCAGTCATGTTGACCAGAGAAATCTGTTCATAAATGGAGCGGAATTTATTGCGAGGCTCAACACAGTCCTCTTCTCTTTGGCAGGACACACCAACTCGTGTAGCGACAAACTTGCCCATTTTTTCCCCACAAAGGTACAGAGGCATATGTTCCACCGCTGAGAATGACACAGGCACGCCAAGGATGCCCCGCCACCGTTTATGACTTATTTGCGCGCAGCTCACCGAGACCAAGAGGAAACAACTGTTTGGCAACTGACACCTCGTCTAGCAAAACAAATAGTTGGGAAGTTATGGCATGCCAGTCACTTGCCACTCACCATCAATGACTGTGGGAAGCACTGCGATTAATCTTTCGGTAAATAGGACGGCCCGTTCGACTACCGAGTGGGACCTTTCGAACAGGTTGTGCTATGCCAAAACTGTCCTGTACAAGGATGGCACGGTACGTGGTGCACATACGTGACCTCCATGTAGAGCTCGCCTGCTATTTCAAAGTCACGGACGCTGTCGCTTTAAGATGGAAATCATAGCTGTCAAGCGAGCGACTCATTTGGTGACCTTAATCTCAAGTTCACGCAGACAGATAATAAATAAGAGGAGGAATATGAGGAGCGGGAACAGAGATATATTAATGTGGTAAAGTAATATGAGTTGAGACCTTCAGCCGGGGGCCGAACAAGGTGTACTCATTCAAAACAGACAGAGAGAGAGGTCTCTTTCCAAAAGGTACAAACACATAACCAAAAGCGCGAGACGTATAAAACGTCCAAACGGCAGTGTCGAGACAGACAGCCTCTTGAGAGAGCGATCATTTCCACGCGCAACTCCTATTTACAACTCGCAGGGAGCTCTGGACAACAAGCTGCAAACACTGACAAGTTATAAAACTTTAAGGGAGCTGTAAATAGCTCTGTCATTCCATCTCCAGTGTTATATTACCAGGATGCATTTATCCGGCCGGCGCTAAATCTTTATTCTTCCCAAAAAGGCAGTGGGAGACACAACAAATAAATTGCAAGTAGACAAGAGCATATGACTAGTTAATCAAATGAACGAAATGTGCATCACAGGGGACCACTGTCAATATTGACAACATGCATTGTCAGTTTTAAGGAATAGTGAGAGAGAGAAAAAATCGTTCGCTATTGCTTTCCTTTCACTGCAATGTTTATGTCAGTCTCTGGAAACAGTTTGTATCCTCCAATAAATTTTTACAGTTGCTTCACCTGCCTGATATCCTTCAGCCATTTCCTTCAGATGCTGTCAAACACGCCAACTATAATATATGGCCCCTCCAATGAGAACAGCTGTAGTCATTCTCTCCGCTGCCTCTTGTACCCCGTCCTGCATGAAATAATATATCAAGATTAATTGATTTCCTGTCACTCTCAGAGAAAAGAAAATTAATTTTCATGTATCTTTTCCCCCAACCTAGCATATGAATTTTGTACATGGCAAGTAATTTAAGTTTTTTAATTATTCATGAGAGCAAAGAAAAAAAAACAAAAAAACATGATGGAGTGGGCTGCTCATAGCCCGAAGGCCGTGGTTCAAGTTTGAGTCCGTGCCTAGACAACGCTCCCTAATGCGTGTATTAATAATTGATGTATTTACATATATCTCAGTTCAAGTCGGATTCCTCTCAGAAGGACCTGAGAGCGCAGGATCAGCAGTCAGACACATGTGACTGCTCTGCTAGGCTACAGGGAACTAATATGCTACGCAGTCTGGCAGCCATTTTGAAACACCCTTCAATGGGGCCTATGTTAGAAGCACAGGCCTGCACACTTCAGTTTCTCAGCATTACCCATAGAGACTATAAATATGCATACGATAAACATTATGAACTAAAATTGATTAATGGTAATATACTGTGTGGTTGTTGCAATAATAATACACAGTATGGTCAACGCTCCCTAATGCGTGTATTAATAATTGATGTATTTACATATATCTCAGTTCAAGTCGGATTCCTCTCAGAAGGACCTGAGAGCGCAGGATCAGCAGTCAGACACATGTGACTGCTCTGCTAGGCTACAGGGAACTAATATGCTACGCAGTCTGGCAGCCATTTTGAAACACCCTTCAATGGGGCCTATGTTAGAAGCACAGGCCTGCACACTTCAGTTTCTCAGCATTACCCATAGAGACTATAAATATGCATACGATAAACATTATGAACTAAAATTGATTAATGGTAATATACTGTGTGGTTGTTGCAATAAACATACACAGTATGGTTGTTCCGTTTTCCAGATATAGCCTAGTATCTCAACACTGCAGGTTTTATTTTTATGTGTTATTAAAGCAAGGATAATAATACTTATTATGGTCCTGCACTGCTTTGCTGACTTTAATAAGACAGAATAATAATAATAATAATAATAATAATAATAATTAATAATGATGTTGTTGA